CCTTTTTAAAATTTTCCGGTAGGCCAAAAATGGCCTATCCGCCCATACATGTTACATGTATTATACGTTGTATTATTATGTGTAAGCATCAGTGCTTATCTAAACTCSTGCGACGGTGCAGTATAATTCGTCATTCGTTGCATTATAGTTTTGCATATTATTAAAATATAGTATTATATTATATATATTTTAGAAGCGATCCGGTCRCGGTATCCGTGGTTTTTGGTTCTAAGTTTTTAATAAAAAGTGGTGTCGGTGACGGCTGCGGTACACCACTGCACCCTTAAACCGCTTTCGACAACGGCCGGCTTCGCGATATTACGCGATTGATACCCACGAGCTACGACCTTATACCTATACACTTCGACGGCGGCGCGGCGATTAWGCGGTGTCAAAGCGAAAAGCGATTTCAAAAGCCACAACGACGGAAAGTTCGCTTTTATACCGTTCGATTTAGTATACCTGTGTACATTATTATATAATATGACGAAGTGTGTGTGTGTGTGTACGTATTGGGTTTACCGCTTTCGTATGTATCGTAATCGGCAAAGGGATATAGGTTACACCGTAAACGAGCTTTTAGCGTACGTATATTATATTCACTAATATACTTCATCATCCGTACCTAAATACAAACGAGACGTGCATAACATATAATATAATGACGAGGATACGCCGTTTTCATATATTGCGGATTTATGCGATGTAGAATAGGACAAGTATTTAACATGACCTATAATTCACGAAGAAAAAAAAAATACAAGGCTGAAAAACTATGTTGGTAATTTGATAACCGAAGGATATAGATTACTTCAAGACGAGTTTTGGAAGCTCATGTAACTTGTAAGCCGTATCATCCCTTATTATATTGCGTCGATATACACTCGATTGAGAATGCATTATCCTATATAGTTATTTCCTGTTTGTATAAGATTAACGTTGTATAAAACGTTACAATATTATATTATATTTGATAACATACGTATTATAAACATGGGAAATATTTTTATCGTACACTTTCCCGGTTACTTATACAATAGTTATTACTAAATAATTACAAATACTAAAACAGCAGAGGTCAGAGAGTCGCATRGGGTCACTTTGATTTTCGTTTTGATGTCCTCTGTTGTGTTAACGGTAAAAACATTATTATTTAGCATACTCCATATATTCATTTCATTCGATATCTATTTATTGATATACTAGAATTTTAAGGTTGAATAAATATTTTAAGGGTTGTGAATTTGTAAAAAAAAACATAACTTTTTTAACATCAAGCCTGAATTTAGAATCTTTTTGATTTTATTTTAATTTTAGATATTTTTAGCCTTTATTGGTAAATAATTTTTCATTCTTAGTTAGTTTTTTTCGACATTTTTACAAATACCATTTATTAAAAACTTTTTACTCACATTTAATGGATTATTTTTTAATATTTGTCTTGTACTTAGTTTTAATTGTTAAAAATATATTTTTTCTTAATACAGTTGATAGTTTTTTTATACGTTTTATATTTTTAATTTTAATTTGTTGAGTTTTTAAATGCGTTTTTTTAAGGCTTTTACTGTATTCAGTTCATAGCCATAGTTATAAAAATGTATGCAAATCAAATTAAATTTTTTTATAGTTACCTATATAATATGTACAGTGGAACTTTTTATGAGATTTATTTCAGATCTCGTTATAAAAATATAATAATGGCATTGACTGAATGTGGACATAATCTAATGTAAATCATGAATTTTATAAAACTAATTATTATATAAGTATTAAAAAATTACTTATTTTTTCTGTTTATAAATTACTAACAGATTAAAATGATTATTTTTTGTTACCATTTAGTTTAAAATGTTTGAATCTCATACTAAAAACGTCAAAACTTTTTATGTTGGTAATTTTATTTTATTATATAAAGATAGTAAGAGATGACATTTATAATTTTTTATTAATTTTATATACACAATAGTGCGTTTGATAAAAAAGATGAATTACAAAACTACGATTAAAAAAAAATATATACAATTTAAATATTTGAGCTTTGACCGAGTATTGAATGCCTACTGACTCTGAACTTAGATATTGCAAGTAATATTTAGAACATGTGTGCCATATATACATACATAGGCATAAAATATTAAAACCGTAAATATTTCTCGGGCAATATAGTGTTTTATACTCACCAAAATAACTATGTATATATATATATAGCCTTACAAAAACACTTTTATAATYAACCCTGAATATATGTTTCTTTCTTAGCGTCGTAACAGACTTTTGGTGTTAAATAGTAATACTATAATATAATATATGTATATAATTTTTAAATTTTCATTAGACAAACTATCTGTACAATTAGCACAATAAGATTATATGATAAGAGTATAGGGGGGGGGGATGGAAATAACATAGTATAATGTATTTTTTTTTTATCGTTTAATGTTATTTTAGAGAAATACTTAAAATTAAATTCTAAGATTGGTGCTGGATTCGATTTTTTTCAGCGTTAAATTACGCATTACAAAAATATAGATGGTCATAGAGTTTTCTATTTACCGATAAAGTAGTATTAAATAATAATTTTTTTTTTCACATGGTAAAAGTAGGTACCTACACCTAGTTATTTTGATAATGAAACGCAGGTTATTGTCCGCATTTTAAAAATAGATTAGAATATTAAAATTATTCAACTTATTCATATTAAAAATTGCCTGGATTTATTGGTAAAAAAGAGAAAAATGTAGATAAAAAAATTAATAGTATCAATATTCTAATAAAAATTGTATTTAAAAACCCACGATCTGCATATCTATATGTAGAAATCTTTCATTATTTAATATAAAAATACAATCACACAAACTGACCATGTTATATGAATTGTTATAATATTTGTTTAAGTATTTTCAAAGTATATAAAAACAAACTATTGTCATAAACAGTTTAATTTTGTCTCTTTCTGTTATCAGTGAGTAGGTATAGTGACTAATAATTCTGGTTTTCAATTTAAACTAGAAGTTCAAACAAGTAGTTATCAATGGGAATGATTTGTCAARCTTTTCAATTAATGTTACCTTTTGGTTTTTTTTTTCATGAAAAAAACTTTACTAGTATTTTTTTTTTAACTAATTAAATAATATCTTATTGTTAGCATTATTTAAGTTGACATTTTTTGTACTTTAAAGCAACAACTTTTTCTTAAATATATACTAGAACTTTAAATTGTTATTGAAAACTGAGTATTAAAATGTAGAAATTTCTTTATAAAAATCATCATAGGTAGGTACTATTATTAATATTTTTTTAAGCTACAGTTTATTTGTCACTTATTAAACCTACTCATTGCACAAAGCATATGCATAGATTGTAGAATTATTTCAATGAAAAAAAAAAACAACAATTACATAATATATAGGTATTTAGGTATGTGGAAACATAATATTATCATTCTATTTCAAACCATTATGTTTAAATATAATATATATATAGTTGCAGGTTGTAAGCAAAAGTTCACTGTCAGGATGACTGAATTATGATGAATAATATTAAAATGGGTTGTTATATTTTTGTATAATTGCATATGGTTATAATTATATAATTTTTACATTTCATTGATTATTTTATAGTTAAAAATATTTAAAAATGATYTAGTTCCTTATAATCAAGCAGTATTTGAATATCATAATTCATCTAGTATAGATATATATAGTGATGTGTTATACTATATTTTCAGTAAGACGAACGGTACATGTAGTTATTATTTATTGCATAATATTACTAGACGTTTTTATCTGTTTGTAATGTTATTTGATACGTAACAATGAATTATTTCAGAGAACTTATAATAGGAAATTATTTTTACTTGGTTTGAAATTGTATAGATTTTACACGCGCGGGCACATACGAAGTGACTACCTATATCGGCAGTATAATATTATAATGGCCATCAGAAATTTATGTTTTCGACACGTGAAGAATAAAAAACAGCTAACGAGTATGAGTTAACGTAATACATTAAACTGCTAACGATATATATATATTGTATGGTTCCGTATATATAGTTCGTTTTTATTACGATAGGTGACACCTGAATGTCCCGCTGCAACGCGTACGGCAATTCTGTTTGGTTTCATCGGACGTGGTCGTGATTTTATTTTATATTTTACACACTTGTTTATCTACGTAATCGTACGCTTTAATATCTATCGATAAATCACAATAAAAATATGCATATAATATATATTTGAGAAAAACGCGACGGGCGTACTGCATGCAGTGTTCGACGTGCGTAACTGTACGATTTTTTTCCAAACTGTTTCGCCATGTACCCTTATGTTCGAACGTTGAATTACAGCGTTTAAACCCGCCATCACACGAACCAATATTATTATATACCAATTTTATGTTTAATATTTTACTAATTAATAGGTGCATCTAACAAGCTCTGCTGCAACGGCGAGTGCCACTCATTAATGCGTACAATAAAAACCGACGTACCTATTTAATAAATAGTGTCTTTAAATAGTTCGTGGATGYTAAGCGGAGCGTGAAACATATATTACCTACCAGATAYTTAGAAACGTTGAGTTTTTATCGTGTTGAAAAGTTTTCATCGGCCGTTGTTATGTTAAGAAATAATGCGAGCAGCAATCATAGTTTTGAAGAAAGATTTGAAAGCGTATTTTTTTTAAACACAATGATTTATCATTGCTTCCAAACCATATACTGCAGTATATATAGTGACAAGGTGAGTGAACTATAAGACGAGTGTCTACTGACACCCACCACGGTCTCTTTTATGTTTTTGATGAAATGTCTAGACAATTTGATATTATCTGAAGTACGATTTACTGTTGCAACTTTTCATGAAACTTTTGACTCTCCAAAGAAACGCGTATACAAAAGYTATGAAACCAAACACGACTATTCCCCTGCAGCTGTGGACTGTAAACAACTTTTCATTAACATCATCACTTCGTATCACTATTCTAGAAAAGAACCGAATTTTGATCTAAATTCAAGACTTACAACCAATGTTATATGCTTATCATGCACGCACGTCAATTTATTTGCTTAATAACGTATTAAGGTGGCTGCCGGTATAGACGTGTGGTATTGTACAATATTRTTATTATTATTACAACTAGATAGGTATAGGTATACGTGATATCATTATAATAATAAATATTATAACACATGCAATAGCGTAAACTAAATTCATATGTTTTCGGTGGCGGTAAAAAACCAAGTGCCTATACATTAATAACCTGCAGCGAACACGCGCTCACGATATTTCTTCTCGTTTCGATGATGTGTTTTTACGGGCTCTTAAATTGTACCTACGCCAGAGAAATCTCGTTAAATTATTACGCATTCAACGTAAATGCGCTTTGAGGTTTTCACACATTTATTATTGTAGCTGCAGTACGTGTGTGTACAACCACCGACGACAAGCGAAAGCGGTGGTGCGAAAACTCTATTACCGTGTGCGTATATATAAGAATAATCGCAGAAATTCGTATATAATATAACCTCCACTCCCGCTCTGTAAAGTGGCGGAGWGGAACAGTTTTCCATCTAGAAATTTACATCGCTGTACCAGCACCGCGGTCATGTTATAATCATTATATAGATACTACAATGAGCTGACGGCCTGCGCAGTTCTATTGTATACATAT